TAGATGCTTGAATTCAGCAAAACAATCCAACACAGTCCAGTAGTCCACAATAGTAGGGGGTTGTCTGCAGAAGTTGTTGTCTAGAGCCTTTTACAGCTCAGCATATTAATATGGCTTTACTTTATATATCTCATTTTTATATTTTTCTGCTGGATGGTTAAGACCAAGATAAAGCAAGAACTATATAACAAGAAATGAAACTTTTGTATCTGATAAGGTCAGCCAAGTCCCCTCAGATTTTATCCTGTAACCCTGTATTATACTTTGTAGATCCTTTGTCAGTGTCAGCTATGTAGATGAGTCATGGCCATTGCTTGACCAATTTGCTCTCTGTGAAAGCCTGAAAGAAAGTTTTCTCTTCATGTGACTCTCTTTGGGCACACTATACATCATCAATCACATTCCTCTGTGGCTCCATAATCTCCTTGATCAGAAATTTGGTGCACAACTAAGTTACATGATGTTACAGTACAGGTTCTCCTATGTCTTCAGTCTTCACTGACCTTGAAAGGCTAGGGCCAAAATGTTGGCAGACCTTACAGCCCTTCCTTTTCTCCAATTTTTGATCTGCAAATTTAGGTTGTTAACCCTCCAGAAGAGAAGCTTATTATTACCCTGGAACATATGCAGTTCAGTTTACCCTAATTACCTGTCTAAATATCGAATATCTTAGGCATAACATGAAACAGATATCTGCCGTCAAGTATTGATGTGCTGAAATTTAAGTCCTTATAGAATATGAAGAAAAAAATTAAAAAATAGGAATAAACACATATTTTTACACAGAAATTTAGAAATCTAACCATATACAGCATTATAGCAGGACAGTCCTGTGACATTATTTTTTCTTTTTTTGTGTCTTTTTTTTTTCATTTATTACCCATTTAAAAAAGAAAAACAAACAAAAAAAACCCTTTTACTTGTGAGACAGTATGATAATAATTGGAATGTCATGACAAGAAGTATGTATTTAAATTTCTGACATTGCCAATTAAACAGAAGACCCAATGCTATTATGGGCTTCTGTACTCTTTTAGAATATTTTGCTGA